CCCGGCTCCTTATTGGCTGCGGGGGCGTCGCTATGGAGACCGCGCACCCCCGCGGCCGGGCGGCGAGGTACCCGGAAAGGGTGCGGAAACTTTTTGGGGTTTAAACTTCGGGATTGGGAGGGAGAGAGACTACAACTCCCAGCATGCTTAGCGCCAGGAGGCGGGAGGGCTGCGGGGCTGCGCGCCCGCGCGGTGCCCGCTGGGTAACGCAGTTCTTACACCCCGCGGGGCCGCCCTGAGGACGGGGAAGTGTCGTCCCTCACGGGCCGCTGGGGCTCTCCCGGGACTCGGCTCCGCTCCGAGGGGACTTTCGGGATCCCCCCCCCAACTCCAGTCCTGCGTGTCCCGCTGGGGGCAAGCGCGGGAGGAGGGCTCCTGCCCTCCCTCCACGCTCATGGCGCCGTGTGGGGTGAGGGCTCCGGGCTCCTGCCGGAGCTGTGGGCCTGAGCTGCTGCCTCATCCCATTTTCCACATCACAACAGCATAAAATTACCATTAGCGCAGCCCCTTTGGGCATGTAATTTTCTTTCCAAGAGATGAATAATGTTAATAACGCATGATACGTTTTCTTTTCAGCCGACAACATAAACTGCATCTGGATGCGGCTGTTCTGGGAGGAAAATCCCCCCTGTAGATCCCCATCACCCAGCGTGATGGCCAGAATTGCAGAGGCGTGTGCTGGGAAGACATCTGAAAGCAGAAAATGGTGTTCTCTAGTGTGTAATATCAGAAAAAAACACAGCGTTCTGGATGCCGGCGGTGTCAGACGCATCTTTGAATTTCTCTAAGCTAAGTATGAGGTGAGAAGTACCTTTACAACACTGGACTGTATGAATATACATTGTTTTGTCTTCTACCATCAGGCCTCTTTTCGCTTGTTTTGCCCAGTGGAGCCTCAGTCTTCTGGGAATTCTTGACACTGGCAACATACAAATAATATTAACCATGATATTTGGGAAACTTTTATCTTTATCCCCTTCTAAACCCATTCATCTGCTTGCCTCAAGGAAGGAGAGCCTGTTTGTACCGAAGTGACACTGATGCCTTCCACTCCCTTTACAAGAAATTTGTCCCAAAGTGTTTACACAATGATCACAACGGATCATTGCAGGCTGTGTCATCTGACTCATTTCACTTCTCCGAATCGATGCAAACATCGTGTTGGTTTCATCAACAGAACCGCTCACATGTCCTTGATATATTTTCAAGCAATTTTTATTTGGATGTAAAGTGTATATCAGCCAACATTTCAGCAGTATCTGCCTTCCTTGGGGCTTAAGATATTGCTGAAGCATTGGCTGACAGCCACTTTACTACCAAATAAAAATTGCTTGAAAATATATCAAGGACATAGGAGCTGTTCTCTTGAGGTACATGACATGATGTTTATGCTTGGTTTTATAGACGTTAAACAAGTTTCTATGAGGGGGCACTATTACGAATTCGACACCCTGGTAACTGTATTTTTTAAGGGAATAACTGGACTGTGCATCTATCTGTCTTGATACGGTGTGAGCACCAACAAACTGAGGGTATTGAATTTTCTTTTTTTCTGCACTGGGTATGTTTTTAGGGAGTCAAATTGTATTTATTCATTCAGTGACGTAACGTTTGTGGAAATGCCCATCTCCAAATCAGAAGCAGCTCTTCTAATATATTTGTCCTCTGTTGGAAAATACTCTCAGAAAGATTTATATTTAGGAGTTAAGGTTTTAACAACAGCTATTTTCTAACAGGGGGTTTTATGTTTGTTTTGTATGACTTGAAATTACAGAACACTGTAACATATGCATAGATTTCAGGAGGGGGGAAACGAACAAATGGGCTGAATTATATCTCAAAATTGCTTTGGGTCATTTTGATATGTCTGTAAGGTTCACTCACTGTAGAAAGAGCAGGACTGAGGGACCCCAGAATTTATGGCTCCCCTATAATAGGTGGGAATGAAAGACTGTTTGCTGCAGGCCAGAGCTATCTATATGTCAGAAGCTTTTCTCTGTGGACTGTCAAACCTATTTGAGAGCTCTTTCAAGGACATTGCTAGATGAAAAAAGTATTAGAAATTAATGTTAGAAAAGACTATAACAAATTTGCAGTCCAGAAAAAATCGTTAATGACTGGCAAATAAACTCATGTCTAATTCACATTACAAGCAATTTGCAAAAAGAAAAAGCAGTTGTTCTGTGTATAACTTCAAACAATTTATATGTTCACATAAACAATATACTTATTTTAAGAGTAGTGTCAGTGAGGTACAAGGAGTTGACTGCCATGTGGCATAGAAAAACCCAAACCTAGTTTAAACTAGTACAGGCAGGGGCAGTAAACAAAACATCAAAACAGAGCTCAGCATTGAATAATTTGTTCCTACTCAGGGGTGTTAATCAGTCTACAGGAGTTCTGTGCAGCTAAGCCAAGTGCTTTTGATATGTGTGTTACCTCAAATACCTGCGTCCCACTCCAGCCAGTGTAAAGCTCTTCGAAGATACAGATGATGAAGTGACATGCCCAAGGTCATTCAGTGCCAAAGCAGCAGGACACTGGTCTTCTGTATCAGCTCTCTTCAGTGGTTACTAGAAATTACATTTCTACCAAGTGAACAGATAATGCAAGAGCAGAACGACAAATAAAAATATAGCGAACAATACAAAACTATTAACTGCTGATGATTCTTGTTTGATCTGAACCTGTTACTGACTTGTGTAAGCAGAAAATCCATCTCAAACTGATAAAATTCAGGTATTTCATTATGTATCTGAAAAACAGGCAGCAACTTCTTAGGTTAAAAACATTTCCTGCTCTTGGTGCTGTGTGCTTTTCCACATACCCCGCATGGTTTTATGGCCAAGTGCTAAATGCTGTATCCATTGTTAAAAAGCAGTGCTGTTGTCCAATCTTGTTTGTCCTTCACTGGACATACTCCTTTCTGGTAGAAATATTTCATCTACCATTTAATATTCAAATTGTTCGCTGTAAAGTATAGCCAAAGAGTAATGAAGGACAGCATCACTAGACATTCACAAACAAATAAATCCTAACGAGCCCAGGAACCAGTTACTATTAAATTTCAGACTCTTGTCTCAAGAACTTATAAAATGCCATGAAAACACTTGATAGGTGAGGTGACATATAAAGGCTCATTGCACACCTGCTGTGAGTTTTTATTCTGCAGAGGATCATCTTGCTCGGTCACTGCCACGGTGAGCGTGTTGTACCGTATGATTTTCCCTGGTTATCCCTTGATGGTCATCTATTCCTTAGAAATGTTCAGCATGGAAGGGCTTTGATAGTACCTGGGTTCCTCCTTATCAGCAATGACCATTATAGCAAAGTCTGCAAGTTCTCAAAATCTGGAAATTACTCTTTCCTGTTGGATGGAACAGTCCACAGTGCATTCTGCCATAAGATGAGATTTCATGAGTAAATAATGTCTCTTTTGTACAGTTCTGCTGTGCCAAATCCTGCTTCTGTTGGTGCTATTGGCACAAGTTTCAGTACCTGTTGTAACTGGAGGGCAAATTAAGCTAAGCCATCAAATTCCTCTAAATAAACTTTGCAAACATATTCGAAGGCCTAGTTCTGTAAAGGGCAGAATACCTGCCCTTTCAATCCCAATTCACCTCCTGCAGAAGCTAAAGGAGCGCGGCTCATCGCAGAATCGATGCTTCAATCATTGTTTCACTTTTCACAGCCAGTGTTTATTTCTCGTTATTTCAAGACAAAAGCGTGCCTGAATTTTGCCACATAGTAGCACCCTGTTGGCAGTGGTTATTGTTACCATAAATCCGGCCTCAACGGAACCCTCTAAGACTTAGACTAAGTTTAGAAAGCAGGCATTCTTTACTGCAGCGCTGGATGCTCGGGGGATCACTCCACCTAACATGCAGACACTAAAACAAAAGTTCATCCTTTATATAGCTTATAGATGTGAATATTCATATATTTTCCAAGAACTCTCCGCCTTCCTGCCTATCTACTACATTTACATAATGCTGGCGTTGCAGAACTACACTACACGTGCACGGGGGTCTTGGCTGGTTGTCAGTGGTTGCTTGGGGACCTAGCCCCCTACTCCTTTTTCCCTTTTGGAGTCTTTTGAGGACAATTTCTTCTCGTTGGATCTTTCCCAACTCTGTTGTCCAGCCAAGGTGTTCTTTCTCATCCGCCTCATTTCTGCCAGGGTGTATCTATTCTCAGGGTTAGGTTGTCGTCTCTGTACACTTCAATCAGTCAGGCCTTGTTAACTACAAAGTTAATCATTATTTGGTGAAAGAATTTCTCAAAATTTCCCCCCTTTGAGATTTTCAGGTATACACAATTAGGTACAACAAAACCTTATAAGGTATAATGAAATGCTTCTCTTACTACTAATTGTTACAGGGCTCAACTTGCAGGCACTAACTACTTGTAGGCATCAGCTAGCAAGAGTCATTACCAGCTGATACTGCTGGCAGAGTCCTATCTGAATGGTTTGGCTGAGGCCAGCTGGAGGAGTTTCACTGAGGGCAAATCCCGGGTTCTGCCCTTGGGCCACAACAACCCCCAGGGGGGCTACAGGCCTGGGGAGGAGTGGCTGGAGAGCTGCCGGTCAGAGAGGGACTGGGGGGGTGAGAATGAGCCAGAGTGTGCCCAGGGGGCCAAGGAGGGCAACGGCATCCTGGCTGGTGTCAGCACTGGCGTGGCCAGCAGGGACAGGGAAGGGATCTGAGCCCTGGGCTGGGCACTGGGGAGGCCGCCCCTC